GAATAATTGTAGACACGCTTTATCTTAAGCCTTATTTCACAACTCTCTATATAACTCAAAGATTGCTTAGTTTGTAAAACGGATCCTAGACACAAAACTAATTGATTTATTTTGGTATATAAGATAGTAAGGCGATAAATCGCAAAGAACAATGAAGAACGAATATTGTTCTATCAGGAAATCATTTCTGGAGATTCGAATATGCGTTTAAAACTTGATGACGTCATATATTGGACGACATTTCTTTTAGAGGGAAGTGACCTGTTAGTCATTCCCATAAATGTAGTTGGCCTACTCAGATAAAAGCATTGGCAGAACGATCCCCAAAGGTGGGACAAATATGACAATCGGAATTAGGAGAAAAGGTTTAGGTGATCGACATGAGGATTGTGAGAATATGCAAGAAATACCAAACCTAACCCACCTGTTAAGATGGACTTGTCCGACATTTCCGAGGTCGAATTCCATACAGGGAGTCACCATTATTAAAATTTGGGTAACTATTTTTAAAGCTTGTACATTTTATCAACATCCTTAAAGAGGCTGTACATCCTGTTAATATCTCATATAAGAAATAAACGGCTCGTGGACGTTGTTTTACGTACAATAAAACACTGCAGGGATAATAAACCACTCAGGGCTGCTCCCCTCATGATTTACTCTCCCTGCAGCGTTTTATTGTGCGATAAACAACCCCCATTCGTCGTTTATTTCTTAAATGCAAACTGTCCTCCATGTCCATGCATCTCCCTCCGTCTGGTCGCGGCTGACCCAGGTGTTTCCGGTGTCCGATCGTGGGGTCGAATCCCGAATTCTCCTTGGTTTGTCAGACACATAGTGATAATGGCTTTCACCTGCTGTTAATCGACCTAGTAGACTTGCGGTTTCCTCACACAGTGTAGACTAAGCTGTGGTGTCACATGTGTTACAGTGAATATCTCTGCGATAGTATCGGTCTTTTGTGACACTGTAGTCATTGTAGTATATATTTCTAGATTAATCGGTGAAAAAACGACAGTTAACAGACAAGTATGACGGTTTTTTGAATTCCTTGATTCAAAGTTAACAGGACTGCTAGTCGGCCGAAGTCTAGCTTCTTTAATAAAGCTGATGCGCCGTGATCTTACGTGCGTCCTTACCCCCCCCCCCCCCCCCCCCCCGATACAGCAGGACATGGTTCCTTTTTCCCGAACTCCTGGTGTCATCTACTAATTTCCAGTGATCCATTCATATAATTTGACCACTGTTTTGGCGTTTACGCCCAACTGATTCCCAAAAGTTGTATATCATTAAGACGTTTTTAACAAACGTATGATTCATGAATTAAAAGCGACACAAGCAATCAAACTCAAATAACGCTCTTCGTTGTTGTGTTAATTTCTTTCTTGTCGGTCTATCTTTCGTGATTTAGAACCAGGACCAACCCAAGGTAAAAACAATGCTTGTTTGTCAAAGCTTTTACTCGATCTGGCGTGAGCCACGACTAGTGGATCGGAGCAAATGTTTGCAGAGCCTGTTTGGTATCCACGGCTAGGAAAGGGAGATAACTGTGGTGAGCAAGAAACACAGGGACACGGACAGTGGTTGTTAACGCGTTCGATCGTCAAGCAGGTGGTCGGTGTTCGATTCCCGTCTTTGGTACATAATAAGTGTAACCAAGTGTTGATTAACATCTTGGTGCTATGACAATATGGTAAAAGCGGGACATTAATTGTATGTTTGTTTGGTGTTGTTTGTTTGTTGTTTAACGCTGAGCCCAGCATTATTCCAGCTATATGACGGCGGTCTGTAAATAATCGACAACCCAGTGATTGACATCATGAGCATCGATCTCTTTATCATCATATCAATCTCTGTCAAAAGCAAAATCGATTGTACCTAACGATTACAGAAGTAGGTCAAGATGCGATCATTAAAACTACATTTAATGCAAGCCTAAGCAAATGCATATTTAATGTTGAAAAATATAGATCATCTGTGAAGATATATACTAAAAATCCTGTACCACAAGTCAAGTCAACGGTAAGACAACTAATCCCCTGACAAAAACCACACGGGAACATATGGTACAGGTCAAAATTGGGAATTGCATCGAGGATATTTTATGTCACGTCATCCACATGTCTCCCCCAAAAACCCTTGAAAGCTTTACTGATGCCTTCCATGTTGTCACCTTGATCAAACAACTTCTGAGCAAGAGTCTGGACAATCTTGGTAGAAAGAACATGGTCGGTTGTACGTCAGGAGGAGCTGCAATAATAATGCTCGACATACATCCTTCTTGTCATACGATTTTCATTAATCGACATATGAAACAGATTAATTAATTCACTGGTCTCTTTTGTTCCAGTTCAGATGGGTACATATGTGGAAGGGAATTGGCTATTTGATCGTTAGTCATGCCTCGGCAAAATTAACGCTGACATCAGGAAACTCGCCAGTTGAAGTTCGGTCTCAGAGGTTGAGGCAAAGCTTTGGTTGTTCAGTACCTAATGAGAGATTATATTGCCGTTTCTTTCACTTCACTGCGCTTTGAGATCATTGTGGTGCAGTAGATGAAGCGGCCATAAATGTTCAGGAGCCAATGATTGACTACGTGTTGGGAGAAGATTTTGGATTGTGGGGGATGACAAATGATTAACTTTCGGTCAGTTAAAATAGTCTTCATCGAGCAGAGCAGCAAACGTTAGGCTTTCCCCGGGCCTCTGACAGACAACGGATATGCCAGTTTGCATAAAATCTCACGACTTTTGAAGGCGTTCTTTTATAACAGACATTTGATTCGTTTGACGAGCCAACCAACTACACCTATGTAGAAATGAAATAAGCGATTGCACGTGCAATTCGAGATGTCGTGTGTACAGAATGGTGAACAAATCAACCGGATATGCGTGATAATGGAGTAGTTTATTATCAGAGTTTGAGCAAAATGGATGAAACTGTCCGAGGGACATTATACACGGTTATAACAATAAAGTGACGTCAAAAGATTTATTTATATCGTGGGGACTCTCGGAGGGGCTGCGATTGTGAATGTGGATCTATGCCAACTCACGTTCGGAAGAAACGTTTTGATTGGTTGTTGATTTCAAACTCACACGCAAAATAAATATTGTACTAACTCAGTGATAAGAGAAATGTGTTTGTGATGCGGCTTCCGAAACGATGATGTGTCGGGGGCTGGTTCCAGGATGTATATCCCAACAGGATGAGGATATGATACACTGAATTATCGACGATTCCCGAATACCAGAATAACCGAGGTTAAACCTAGTTGCAGGTCTGGATCCTAAATGATGAACCTTGGCTTGCCAGGATATTCAGGTGGCACGACAGAGTATAACGCAGTTGTCTCCCTTGTGTGTCCACTGATGAAAGGGCATAGGCGCACAACCATATATCGGTTTATGTTTTGGTGATCATATTACAGGAAAATCTATTTCATCCCCAGTCTGTTTGGAGCGTAACCAGCCTAACCACCTGATCCCGTTAGTCGCCTCTTACGACAAGCATAGTCGCCTGGTTTAACGGTATTTCAGTTTAAAGAGTGTCAGCTATGTCATGGACTGGGATGTTAGGCGATAACTACTATGGTACAACCCACGAGCACGCATGGTACTTCAAAGAGAAGCAAAATCAGGTCTAATCTCCTACGATCATATGTGTCCCTATACCTAAGGGACGCTACTCTTTACAGTGAATTGTTGCTCCTTTGAAGACGGGGGCACGGGTGGCCGCGATTCGCTGTGCAGAGTTGCGTCCCTTGGGCACGCCAGAAACCTATGATTGTGGGTTCGAATCCAGGTTCGCCCCGATTATGTTTCTAGGTTTGTCAGTACCATACCCGTGCTCGTGGGTTTCACCGAAGTGGTAAACGTCTGAGACTTGCATCACTTCGGGCTTATCTCCCACATTAAGCTGACACACCGTGATATAGCTGGAATACTGTTAAAAGCGGCGTAAAACCAAACTCACTCACTCCTTTGAAGACGGGTCCATCCATGCCCTCATGTTTCATAAAAAGAAATGTTTTGGATATATTCTACATACCTCACGAACCACATTCGTATCCCTACATCACTACATCGCACCCTTGCAACTTTAAAACACAAAAACAGTTCATGTACATCATATTTGCTCAAACTGACACATATTATCACGATTTCTCAGTAACACTTCCCGGTCACACGTGAACTGGCCAGACAATTACCATACACTATTCCATAATACATTAAAAAGCGTTTTACAACCTGTGTCAATATATCATAAAGAATTTGACAAAGGCTACCACCCAACTGATCTGACAAATCCCACGACACGCCCATGTGTATACATGGCAGCAGAGGTTTATGCTTAATATTGATTCTGTATGTAGAGTTCCTTGAAAAACATGAATGCAGATATATTCCCCTGGTTATTTTCATTTGCAGCTATGACGTACTGTGAAGGGACACAACTTGTCAGTAACCTCACCTTTCCAAATACTGATGTCCTTGGAGAAGTACTTTTAACTAGTCTATGTTATTCGACTGCATCAGGCAATATGGATGATTTATTTACAAACGCCATAACCCAATATTTGAAATTGGCGCCATATTTCGGTCGAACTTAAAAGTGAAAAAAACCTTTCTTCTTGTGAGAGACGAGATTGTGTCTTTGTCCATGAAACTTCTAGATATTTATAGTTTGAAACAGTTTCTTGGGGACCTTAGAAACCTATGATTGTGGGTTCGAATCCCAGTTTGCCCCGATTATGTTTTTAGGTTTGTAAGCACCATACCCGTGCTCCTGGGTTTCACCGAAGTGGTAAACGTCTGAGACCTGCATCACTGGGAACAGAAACAGTTTGACCGTACCACCATGGTCCGTGACCTCAGTCGGGACTTGCGCTTGGTATAATTTGGCAACATCGTTGAATATGAGATCTGAAGTTTGATGAATTCTGCTATATGAGCAAAGCGTGGTGAAATAAATATTTGGAAATTGAACTATCTATAATATATAAGAAAACATTACTTTTTATCAGCGGGGGTATACAAGAATTACTTTTTATCAGCTGATATATACAATAAATTACCTTTTATCAGCGGATGTAGACAATAAATTTCTTTTTATCATCGGATGTATACAGATTTACTTTCTATCATCGGATGAATAAAACAAATTACTTTTTATCAGCGGAGGTATAAAACAATTATTTTTCGATTTTTGGATGTATGCAACAAATTACTTTTTATCAGCGGAGATGTACTCCATATTACTTTTTATTATCGGGTGTATACAACATATTACTTTTTATCAGCGGAGGTATACAGCAAATTACCTTTTATCAGCAGATGAATACAACAAATTACTTTCTATTAACGTATATATATTACAAACTACTTTTTATCAGCGGATGCATATCAAACTTACAAACCCCTATGTTAAGATATCAGCTGTACAATATGAGGGTAGCGCATGGTGTTCATACCAGTACTTGACTTGAAACCCATACCGAACTAATTCATTTATCTGGATACAATTTACTACTGAAATCAGTCTCAAAACGGATACGCCACGCCCACATTTAGTTCCTGAGGTGTCTGAGGGTTTCGATGTTTTCATACACTGTTCCAGCCTCCTGTCTCGTTGCCCGGTTCGTCGCACCACTTATCCCAGCATGGCCTCCTATTTCAGAGTACGTCAAGTCATCAGGTCTTGTTATAGTTGCGCCATTCAATGACCCAGAGCTGGAACCACCCTTCCTAGATGTGATCCTACGCTGCCACAAGTTAATCTTGTCTACAAGACTGGCAACCTGTAAGTCTGTGTCGGCAGCTGCGTCCTGGGGAAACCTTTGCATGGTGAGGTAGTCATTTGTGGTGCTAATGGTTATAGAACTTTGCCTAGCTATCGTCTTTGGGACGCTTGGAAGGTCCCTGAAGTTTTCACATTTTGGCGGAGTTGGGGGCGCCCGTGGATTAAACCACATCTGTATATAATCGGCGTCAAGGTTGCTGCTATCTGGACAACAGGCCTCAGGAGTGGTCTGCGTTTGTGCTCTCCCTGTAGGCTTGGGTAATACATCTGGAGGACTTGTTGTTCGTGTTCTTGGGGGCAATGGAGGAGGTACGTTGTCATATACTGGAAACGTGTCACAGTCAGTATGGGAGGCAGGCTCCTGGGAAACTTTGATACTTCTCATGTATGTTTCCATTCCCTCTTGGCACTGCCTTAAAGCATATTTATATTGAGCACCGTCGGAAACAGACCTGTCTGGTTTGGCCACCCTGAACATCAGCGGAATAGCAACTGGGATCTCTAAGAGTATATTACATTGGTTGAAAACTGAGGACACCACAACTGAAACATCATGGTGACATTCGCTCAGCCTCAAAGTCCCAGTAAATACACATGGGGTTACAGGAACATGTCCATACAACATCCTGGCAACGCAGGGTAGTCTGATATCAGCAACGATATCCTTAATTTGCAAGACAGGAAACTCAAGTTTTTCAGTCTTATGCTTGAGGACATAGAAAACCCCTGTGGCATCAATGGGTAGGAGTACCTGTCGATCAGCATTGTCTGTACATAGAAGAAATGTCTCTTCCCGAGTGATGGTTCTAAAAAATATGGATTTTCTTACTTTGACTGTAGCCACATACAAGTTGACAACTGTGAGGACATCGCCAGGGTAGAGAACTCTTGGTTTTTGGGTTTGAGTTTTACTGTACGCCTGCAATGCAATCACTTCATCTTCTCCACCTATAAGAAACGTGTGGCAATCTGAAGCGGCAAGTTTCGCCACCTGGCGGTAGTGGGGAACAGGCTCGTGTTTGGGCATGGATGAGACGGCAAACCATCCTGAAAGAAGACAAACTTTGTGAAACTGATTGTAACTCAGAAGTGAGTGAGTGAGTTGGGTTTAACGCCGCTTTTAACAGTATTCCAGTTATATCGCGGCATGTCAGCTTAATGTGGGAGGAAAGCCCGAAGTGATGTAGGTCTCAGACGTTTACCACTTCGGTGAAACCCACGAGCACGGGTATGGTGCTGACAAACCTAGAAACATAATGGGGGCGAACCGGGATTCGAACCCACAATCATAGGTTTCTGGCGTGCCCAAGGGACGCAACTCTGCACAGCGAATCGCGGCGCCACCCGTGCCCCCGTAACTCAGAAGTAGTTTACTGTGGTTTCCATACAATGGAACCTCGTCAATCTAATTTATGTGTCTGTTAATGTTAGCGAATTTGGTTGCAGCCCTTGACTGACATCTAACAACGAATTTGTAAGAGAACATACCGCACGTCAATGAGTGAGTGACATTATTCCAGTTATATCACGGCGTGTCAGCTTAATGTGGGAGGAAAGCCCGAAGTGATACACGTCTCAGACGTTTACCACTACGGTGAAACCCACGAGTACGGGTATGGTGATGACAAACCTAGAAACATAATCGGGGCGAACTGGGATTTGAACCCACAATCATAGGTTTCTGGCGTGCCCAAGGGACGCACGTCAATGAACCTGACTCATCAGAGTTATGTAAAATGTACTTCTCGGCAATGTGTACCATAGTTTGGTCAGAATACCGATACACTGTGTGCCGAACGAACGTTTTATTCACTAGCTCTTGCGCGGGTGCAATGCTACAGTGTGAAATGTTGCTTGTAACATAGCCAAATATTCATTTGAATTTAATAACAATCAGGGTTTGGGGGAAATGTCGTCAGATATTACCATGATCCGGTCTATGTTTTTAAAAGCAGTATACATTACGTTGACCATAGAAAAAAGAACGTTATAATTAAGAGAGAGCTTGGTTAAGACCAATACGTTACATATTCCTGCAACAGCAACACGGCTACCGACGTCCCTTCTTACCATGTGATCACGGAGTATCAATGACAAAGAGGGCGCCGGTGTCCTCGTTTTCATATAAATGTTTGAATAAACAGACGAACAAATGCCATTATGATACATAACAATCTTATCGTTGATGCTCATAACTCTTAAGCACCTGCATCTGACAAACTGTATGTTTGTTTTGTTGTTGTTCCTGTTACCCTAATGGTAGTCAGTGTAAAACCTTCTTTTTCTCTTGTCATTATTGTTAACTCGTTCATACTACTTTGCATTTACCATAAAGAACATGTGTATGACTGTTTTTTAAGTATATTATTACTGTCCTATATCCATTACGATTGCGATAATAATTACAATTCCTTTAAGTCCATGTCGTAATAGCAATCATAGATGCTCATATGCATAGTAAGGGGTAATTACGTCAAACTCGTACATGTACACATTTGTCAATAGTGTATGCGTTATAGTTTTTTCATTAACCTTTGTTTCATCAAAACTTCACGCTCTATTGTTGATGTTACGAAAATGACCATTTCATTCTTCTTAAATTTACTGAACCAAATACATTGCAACTGTACTGGACATACTGTGAACATTAAAGTATTAAGATTTTGAATTTTTTTAAATAAATAAATTCTTAAATGTTGGAAAGGCCGAAAAAAGAAACCTTAAATATGAAGAAAGAAACGTGCATAGGACAAATAATATTGAAGCTTTTGATACTTGCAGCAATGTGTCTCTTTTATGACAGAACCTGTTCATTATGCTGCAAAACAAGAATTGTGTCATTATTGATGCTCACGTATGCATGCAAAGAGATCTTTATGGGGCAAAAGTGCGTAGTACATCTACATTGTGAGGACAAATCTATACACACAAGCTGCCCTTTGATGTATTGTTACTTACCTCCTCTACGTTCATAAATACATATAAATATATATTTACACATTTGAGCAACTACGTTCATTGGAGTCAAAATACTTCCCGGTTTTGTACGAATACATTTCATTATGAATAAAATACTCTGTTCTTGCCTTCAATTGACGTTTTTTAACGTAACAATTTTGTGTAATGTTCTAATTTAATCATTTATATGTTGAGGAGTCGCATTGTCGCGATGTCACGCTTTGGTTAATTCTGTCACTTTTGACAACGCGTCAGTGTCCCTTGTAGGATGTCATAGGTTGTTTTTTAAAATTTTGTATTGGCAGCGACCTACAAAATCCTATTCCTGTGAGTGAGTGAGTGAGTGAGTGAGTGAGTGAGTGAGTGAGTGAGTGAGTGAGTGAGTGAGTGAGTGAGTGAGTGAGTGAGTGAGTGAGTGAGTGAGTGAGTGAGTGAGTGAGTATGGTTTTACGCCGCTTTTACCAATATTCTAGCAATATCATGGCAGAGGACAACAGAAATGGGCTTCACTCATTGTACCCATGTGGGGATCGAACCGACGCTTTAAACACTACACTACCCTATCGCCCCTCCTATAAGTAAGTTGTCTGAAGAGTAACAGTATATTTGCTTACATAATATATAAAAGTGTTTCGGTTATGCTTTCCGCTGTTTTTTTAACGATGCAGATTCAATAGATGTTTTCGATTATGTCATTTTTTTGTGTTCAGGTGTGAAAATATAGAATTAAGTTCACCATAAAGCCCCTATGAGGAATCCGCATCATGTACAACGGTAGGGAATCGTGGTCAGGCTCTACGACATGTTTGATTATGCCTTGTCTTTTTTCTTTGAAGAATGTTACATTCCTCAATTGATTAAAATGATGCCAACATGGATATTTCCTCAGATGTGTGTTAACGTATGTGCATAACAAAGAACCATTGCTTTCGGTCCTTGTTGTCACTAGAAAACGTTACAAGAAATCAGACAAGACAAAAACACTGTACGTTACGTTTCTGATCATAACTCATTTATTATAAATTTTTATTGGTTTTCACACACGTTTCATTCTGCTGGGGTCGTCCGGGACACCATGACCTTTATATTTGAAGAGGAAATATTTCATACTGATATTGTACACTGATTCCTCACAAACAGGTATTACTAGTGAGTGAGTGAGTAAGTTGGGTTTAACGCCGCTTTTAACAGTATTCCAGTTATATCACGGTGTGCCAGCTTAATGTGGGAGGAAAGCCCGAAGTGATGCAGGTCTCAGACATTTACCATTGCCGTGAAACCCACGAGCACGGGTATGTTGCTGACAAACCTAGAAACATAATCGTGTCGAATAGGGATCCGGACCCGCAATCATAGGTTTCTGGCGTTCCCAAGGGACGCAACTCTGCACAGCGAATCGCGGCGCCCTAGACGACTGGGCCACCCGTCCCCCCCCCCCCCCCCCCCTCTTCCCCCCCCCCCCCCCCCCCCCCAGGTATTACTAAGTACGATTCCGACTGTATCATCCATGTTAGAATGTGTTTATGAATCACTATCCCCAAGTGATGACACCAGGTGTTCGTGAAAAGGTGAGCGTATCCTGCCCCACCGGTGGCTCCCACCACAAACACACCTGCAAAGGCAAGGCAAGTATGCACTTGAGCAAACATGTAAATATATGGTTCAACGTCTGTTTACTTACCTTTGTAATCTTCAGGTATGAGTAGGGGTGCCCCGACCTCCACCGTGTGTCCAGTTTGAGGATCAATATTGAGACTGGTTGCTGTCACCTTGTTACACACACGCTTCTGGTACAACAACATGGGCTGAAGAAAATCAAAGTTGGACTTCTCCGTGGATATGTCATCATTGAGTGTATAGGCACACTGCACCACACGAGGGAGGGGGTACTTCTGTAGAATGTCCTCCAAGGAATATACCCCAGTTTCCCACTGCAGTTTTGGCTTATCCATCAGAAGGATGCTAGAAGAGGACAACCCTCTCTCTGGCAACCAAAGATCAACCTCCTTCTGCCAACTAGAGGACACTCTTCTTCTGCTCCTGTCCGGGTCCCTTGCGCATATACTTGATGAGCAAATAAAACACACTTCCTTGTTGGTTTAAAAATCTTTCCACATTGTGTGTATATTAGCATAAGTGTACAGCCCGCGAATAGCTGACAAACACCTTAACAACAAGGATTCGCTGTCGTCCTGTATATATGAGAATACAACTAGTAAATGCTTATTATATTACTTATTTACATTCTATTAGCACATGGGTGAACACGACTATGAGGTATTCACGCTTATTCACTGCTTCTTGAGTTGTTGAAATTAAATCATAACCACATTTTTTAACCATGTCGCCTAAAACTCGCATATTAGTTTTGATTCAAGTTAAAGTGCTTGCAGACAAAGTTTACGTTGATGTATTTTCAGTTGCACATTCCGTCCTCCGTATACTATACAATATAAGTACACATGCAGCATTGTAACATCCTTATTCTATTCTATTCTAGAATGCATCCCTATTCAAACAGCTCCCCCAGTAGTGCTGATTGTCTGTGACTGGAGGTATCATGAGTGCAATATCTGGTCTTGTAGTCCAGGGTCAGGACCTCTAAACTACTGGACAGTGTTTATTCGTCATCTCTTTTGTGATCTGAGGAAAACGTTTATTTCTGAGATATATTACAAATACCAAACTAGTAAATGAGATTTATAAATATTGCTATGTGTATTCATAATGGAATGTACAAAAGAAGTAGAGCTGTCTCTTGACCATATCTCTCTCCATGTAACCAGTTTTGTTGTTTTGGGCCTATGGTCTGTATAACTGTACGGAATAAATGGGGCACGAGTGGCCCAGACGTCTAAGGCGCCGCAATTCGCTGTGCAGAGTTGTGTCCCTTGGGCACTCCAGAAACCTATGATCGCGGATTCTAATCCGGGTTAAATTGTCAGCTCGTGGGTTTCACCAAACTGGTTTCTGACGCCCAGCTCTTCGGGTTTTCCTCTTTATCTCTTAGGCGTGAGGGGCGGTCGGGTAGCCTAGTGGTTAAAGCGTTCGCTCGTCACACCGAAGACCCGGGTTCGATTCCCGACATGGGTACAATGTGTGAAGCCCATTTCTGATGTCCCCCGCCGTGATATTGCTGGAATATTGCTAATAGCTGCGTAAAACCTCACTCACTCACTCACTCACTCACTCACTCACTCACTCACTCACTCACTCACTCACTCACTCACTCACTCACTCACTCACTCACTCACTCACTCACTCACTCACTCACTCACTCACTCACTCACTCACTCACTCACTCACTCACTCACTCACTCACTCACTCACTCACTCACTCACTCACTCACTCACTCACTCACTCACTCACTCACTCACTCACTCACTCACTCACTCACTCACTCACTCACTCACTCACTCACTCACTCACTCACTCACTCACTCACTCACTCACTCACTCACTCACTCACTCACTCACTCACTCACTCACTCACTCACTCACTCACTCACTCACTCACTCACTCACTCACTCACTCACTCACTCACTCACTCACTCACTCACTCACTCACTCACTCACTCACTCACTCACTCTTAGGCGTGATTTAATCGAATCCCAGTTTCGCCCTGTTTAGTACTTTTTTAGCCCGCACATACCTTTGCTCGGGTGTAAATGTCGAAGATCACTGCAGGTTGTCCTCCCACATCAAGCTGACAATGTTCAAAGCGGCCTTAAACCCAACTCATTCACTCATACGCTGTATCATGTCAACATCATTATGGAGGTGGTGGTGAATGAAGCGGCCATAGAATGTCTGCACGTGTTATTTAACAACAGACACAAGTGCGTATCGTCATATCATCTTGTCATAATTTGGGGGACGTTGTGGTCGAATAATGATTTCGCACAGAAGACATAAAGTCAATGAAATGCCTTTCCACTGTAGTGTCTGATTAGACGGATGTAAGTAATATTGCCAATGTTCGTTGAGGGGTCGATAACTAGTGTCTGCAGTTCGTAGTTGTTGTTAAGAAAGAATGTTTACAATAGTGAGTGAGTTGGGTTTAACGCCGCTTTGAACAGTGTTTATTTGGGAGGAAAGCCCGGAGTAATGTAGGTCTCCCCACGGTATGGTGCCGACAAACCTGGAAACATGGCCAGGACAAATCTGGGATTCGAACCCACAATCTTAGTTTTCTGGCGTGCCTGAGAGATAAACTCCCCAGAGCGCATAGCACCTCCTTAGTCTCAGGTGCTCCTGCTTCCTTATCGTCATTAAACTTGTTTATCATTCAATAAGAACGAATATTCGAGATCACGTATACATGTATTTATAACTGGTCAATGTCCGTTTGCTTATTCAACTGACGCAATCATCGCGCCAAACCACACAAGGAAATAGGATAAATAAAGTTTAAGGAAAAAAACAAGAACGTTTCTCACGATATGTGTGGTAATTTTAGGATATGCCATGACACTTTGAGTTGCGAGGCTGTTATTGACATCAGTACGCACGTACACACACACACACACACGCAAGCACGCACGCACGCACGCACGCACACACACACACACCACACACACACCACACACACACCACACACACACACACACCACCACACACACACACCACCACCACCACACACCACATTTAAAAACACTGACACACCTACTCACACATCACTGACACACCTACTCACACATTAGCACTCACATATACACACCAACAATAGCCACACAAACCCCCTCGCTCTCTCTCTCACACACACACACACACACACACCACCACCACCACCACCACAACCACCACCACACACCACCACACACCACATACCAACACACTGACACACCTACTCACACATAAGCACTCACATCTACACAAACACAATAGCCACACAAACACCCTCACTCACACTCACACACAAAAACACACACACACACACACACACACACACACACACACACACACACACACACACACACACACACACACCACACACCACCACACACACACACCACCACCACTACACACCACATTAAAAAACACTGACACACCTACTCACACATAAGCACTCACATATACACACCAACAATAGCCACACAAACCCCCTCGCTCACACACACACACACACACACACACACACACACACACACACACACACACACACACACACACACACACACACACACACACACACACACACACACACCACCACCACCACCACAACCACCACAACCACCACCACACACCACATACCAACACACTGACACACCTACTCACACATAAGAACTCACATCTACACAAACACAATAGACACACACACACACACACACACACACACACACACACACACACACACACACACACACACACACACACACACACACACACACACACACACCACACACCACCACACACACACACCACCACCACTACACACCACATTAAAAAACACTGACACACCTACTCACACATAAGCACTCACATATACACACCAACAATAGCCACACAAACCCCCTCGCTCACACACACACACACACACACACACACACACACCACCACCACCACCACAACCACCACCACACACCACCACACACCACATACCAACACCTGACATACCTACTCACACATAAGCACTCACATATACACAAACACAATAGCCACACAAACACCCTCGCTCACACTCACACCACAAACACCCCTACACCCCACACACCCATAACCCCGGGCATGTGTGTTGCATACATATCATATCGCTTCCTTGTTACATTACAGTTGACGAGGAAGCGACAAAATAAATACATTATAAGAAGAACACAATCATGTCATGATCATGTTTTTTTCGGATTGATATGAACTAAACATAGCTACTTATATGATCATTTCATTTCCTCAGACAAAGGACAACTGAGATCAACCATTCCTCGGAGAAGTAGTGTGAATATATAAAGCTTTACTGAGACATGCATGACAGATGATAGGTCAATACCACGGGTTGCATGCCTGTGAATATATAAAGCCTTACTAAGACATGCATGGCAGAGGATAGGTCAATACCATGGGTTGCATGCCTGTGAATATATAAAGCCTTACTAAGACATGCGTGGCAGAGGATAGGTCAATACCATGGGTTGCATGCCTGTGAATATATAAAGCCTTACTAAGACAAGCATGGCAGAGGATAGATCAATACCACGGGTTGCATGCCTGTGAATATATAAAGCCTTACTAAGACATGCATGACAGAGGATAGGTCAATACCACGGGTTGCATGCCTGTGAATATATAAAGCCTTACTAAGACATGCATGACAGAGGATAGATCAATACCACGGGTTGCATGCCTGTGAATATATAAAGCCTTACTAAGACATGCATGACAGAGGATAGGTCAATACCCCGGGTTGCATGCCTGTGAATATATAAGGCCTTACTAAGACATGCATGACAGATGCACGGGTTGCATGCCTGTGAATATATAAAGCCTTACTAAGACATGCATGACAGAGGATAGATCAATACCACGGGTTGCATGCCTGTGAATATATAAAGCCTTACTAAGACATGCATGACAGAGGATAGATCAATACCACGGGTTGCATACCTGTGAATATATAAAGCCTTACTAAGACATGCATTGCAGAGGATAGGTCAATACCATGGGTTGCATGCCTGTGAATATATAAAGCCTTACTAAGACAAGCATGGCAGAGGATAGATCAATACCACGGGTTGCATGCCTGTGAATATATAAAGCCTTACTAAGACATGCATGACAGAGGATAGATCAATACCACGGGTTGCATGCCTGTGAATATATATAAAGCCTTACCAAGACATGCATGACAGATGATAGGTCAATACCCCGGGTTGCATGCCTGTGAATATATAAAGCCTTACTAAGACATGCATGACAGAGGATAGGTCAATACCACTGGTTGCATGCCTGTGAATATATAAAGCCTTACTAAGACATGCATGACAGAGGATAGGTCAATACCACGGGTTGCATGCCTGTGAATATATAAAGCCTTACTAAGACATGTGAGATGGGATTGGACGGGATTGGGGCTGAGGGCGTGTAGATTGGACGGGATTGGGGCTGAGGGGTTGCGGATGGGACGGGAATGGG